AATTGTTTCCATTCATTCTCTTTGATAACCACTTCTTGCACTGAATAAAGTCTAACTAATGGGTTGTGATATCAAGCAATGTATTTTAAATTTCAACCGAGCATATTTAGGGAAATTAATTATTGGTCCCAGGGAGGAGATAACAGTGGGTATGTCACTCAGCATAATAGATGTTACTTGTAAATCCTTTTTCTTGTTTTTAATACGATGTACAGATTGTACTAAATAATTTCCCTATTCAGATTATCTCATTTGAAAAGATATGAAACAATAAAATAAGTCGGTTTAGTACTTTTGAAGAGGAACTGAATTGTTTGTATAAAGTATAAAAATATGTGTGGTCACTATTTTTTCAGTTTTTATTCATTTCATTTTTTTTAATAACTGAGTTCGTTTTAAAATAGGCTAATTTTTTGTTTTCTTATATCTCTTCTAATAGGACAGAATAGAAGATTTATTTGGCTCACTCTGTACACACTTTCAAGATGTAAAATAAAAAGTGTGAATTTATCAGTTTGTGCCAGTATATGACCAAATGTCACCGAAAATTGTTACAAACCGTTACAAAGGAGGGAAGCAATATTTCTAAACATAAAGCAGCAAAATGTCTTGAATGTGGGAATGGCACCTACACCCTAACTTATCTAAGAGACACGTATATGAATATACATAAGTTTTCAATCGGATGCGGTATTATTCAACACACTGTATCAATTCATATTGCTGCTAGGGTATTCGGAAACACAAGTGATTGGTAATATACATTTATTATTTATTATGTTTTGCAAAAAAAGCTTTCTTATGTATAAGTAAACAGACAAGAATCCTATAGATTTGCAAACTGTAGGCTAAGAGAAGCGGACATTTATAGAAAATGGTTACGACAGGGCATCAAGGTACAACTATAGGGGTGTTTTGGGCCAGCAGACTTTATAAATCTGATCAATAAAGTCATGAGATGGATTGAACTCTTTCCATAAAATTTTGAGGAATATAATTTTTGTGTCTAAATACATATCTAAAATAAAATATCTGTGTCATTGGTCTTATTTACAAAGTCTTTGGTCTTAAGATACCGTTATAAAAATAAGATTAGTCATGGAGGGCCTCTCCCTTGCACCAGAGAAGGTTACCCTTAAGTTGCCCCTGTTACTCTGCGGCTTACATAATTACAGTACCCGTGCAGTCACCTGTCAATCTCCCAGGCATACGTAACAGTCACACCCTAATCAAGAGGCTCAGTTCTTACACGAATGGAACGATGTTGTACTCACAACAAATTTAGTGTAATAGTAGCATAGTAAATTTAAATACCGTTAAGTCACCAAACTAATAGAATCTGGATAAAAAGTTTTCAATATTGCATTTACTTTACATGATATTCATACATCAATATTGCATGATTCTACTACAGTAATGTCTACAGTTTGAAATTATTTTTAGTCGGTAACCTAACTTAACTGCAGATGTAAAGTGGAGCCTCACATATTGTAAATTGTAAAGTTAGTATTAATGCATATATTTTGATTGATTTGGTGGTACTTATTATACCTACCTACACAATATACAGTGTGACTCACTTAAAAATTTAAATATTCAAATACTTGATAGTGAAATTTAATTCATCAAATTACGTAAGAGGATTACCTTCGTTTTAATTTATTTTACCAACAAAATTGAGTAAATCTCCTCATAGTTCAAAACAAATTAAGCCTGAATTGACATCTTCTTTTAGAGAACCATGATTAGACCATGATTGTCCCCTCATATTTCTTCCTTTATTCTTCTCGTAGGAAAATTTTTAAAATTTTATTAATATTTAAGTGGAACCAACCGAATAATGTGTCACTGAGATGTAACTCTCACATGCATTTTTTAACTGGGATACGACACTTTCTTACCATACAACAATAATATGGTTGGGTCTATCTTTAATAATAAGAGCAATTGAATATGCCATACAAGTAATGTGTTACATAAAGCACATTAGGCTTAAGCGTTAAGCTTATGGCACACTTTTTTGGTCATATCTTCCGTACTATTAGAGATAGAACCATTAAGCCTTATATAGCTTTATTCATAACAGAATGTTCTGTTTAATTGTATAGGTTATATTAAAAAGAAATGTTAGGCCTACATCTCCGTAACATAAAAATAATGGAAAAAAACAGGGGACATTTATGGTGAATCACCTTCTATATAATATAAATCAGGAATTAGTGAATCAAATGGCAAATCCTACATTTTGTGTAGGAAGAAATACGTCATGAGTTGCTCTGGAAGTTTAAGAAACAGCTGACATACTAGTAATAAATGAGGCACTCTGTATAAAAGCATGTATGTATTATTGAGAAACATTAAGAAAGTATGTGTTCTACTACACTAAATCTAATACGACCCATCCGCATCATATAAAATATAAGGTCCCATTGGGGACATATAAGAATTTGTACTCTTTGAATGCTATCCGATGGTTGGGAACGACGAAGGACCCGAGATCTATCTTAGTGGTTGGCCCTTCGTGCGTACCGGTCTCATTCTAACTCACTGTACAATAAAGGGATCCATAAATAAATCAAATATATCACCATCCTTTCTTATTATAACGCTAACAATAACATCTTCATAGCTATGTTCGCTACTTTCGATACACATGTAAAAAACAACCGATGTTAAGACAACAGAGACCATTATGCTAGCCAAGTTTGCCATGCTCGTTATGCATATAAAAAATATCCATTATTGCTTTAAAAGCGTGGAAGCAGATTTCCTTTTAATTTATACTAGGCATATCCACAAACTAAGGCCAAGGTGTTGAGAACTATTGTAGTGGCGTGTTGAAATGAGTGCCGCTATTCTGAATCGCACCGGGTGGACAATTCCTTGACTGGCAACGAAATATGGGTACTACATCCGTAAGAAGAAAAGACAATTAATGTAATGGCAACATTCGTCTTCACCATCAGCGAAAAAATTCAAAACCAGTTTCTGCCCAAAAAGTCATGACAACTGTGTTTTGGGATTGTAAAGGGATTCTCCCTCCTCATTGACTTTATGCCCCAGGAGGAAGCAATTAACGCTACATGGTACTGTGAAACTCTGAAAACACTACAGAGGGCAATATACAACACAAGAAGGTGAATGTTAATGAAGGGAGTGTGCTTGTTGTACGACAATGCACTAGCCCACACAGCCATCACCACAAAGCAATCCTTGGATTCATTCCGTTAGAACATGATCAATCACCCTACTCACAGCGCTGACCTGGCACCTTCTGATTTTCATCTTTTCTCTTCCCTGAAAGTGTTTAGATGTGGAAGGTTTTCTAACGACGATGAAGTTCACAGTGCCCTGAAAAGGCGGCGGGATATTTATTTGACGAAGGTATCAGAAACTCATCCCCTGTCTCACAAAGTGCATTAAGGTTGTTGGCGACTAGGTTGAAAAATAGTGTTTGATGCACCTTCCTGAATATGTAAATTTTTCATAAATATACTGTCCTTTTTATTTAAAAAAAATTAAGTACTTACCCTTACTTTGTAGATATGCCTCATATTTTTAACACATTGTTGACGATGAGCATTCCTATTACAACAAATACACTGTTTTTAAGCAAAATAAGTAATATGCACAAAAATTTCCTAAAAAAATAATAATTATGCCGATAGTGAAGCATTTACGGTGGACTGAAGGTACAGAAGCATGGGCTTAGCCAGGGGGGGTCAGGGGAGCCCCGCCCAATTGTTGCTGCATGCTGCAAGTTTCAAAAATTACATTATTATTACTGGCCGCATTTTCCATCCAATCAAACCAAAAAGTGTTTACGTTTTGAAATTTTATATCGGTAAATTACTGATTGCGAAAAAGTGTTTAGGTTTTGAAGTGCGTTTACCCATGCCCATGTACAGAAGCATCCACATCTGTAGGATAATATTTTCAACAAATTAGAATATAGAAGATGATGTGGGAGAAAATTAGGAATGTAGTCGTAGTAAATATCCACAGCAAATATAGCCAACATAGCTAAGCATAACAGCCTGTAAGGTCTTAGTCTCTTTGTGGATGTTTTAGAAACATAGCAAATAATCAGATTTATGTTCACACATCTGTGTTTGCGAACATAGCATTTATATCATACACATCCTATGAGGCCGCATCTACCAATGGTGACTATACATATACATTTAAACTGACAAACTTTAATGGGATATAGAGCACACTCAGTTGACTTTGAAACACCCTGATTTTGATTTTAACTGTTTCTGAGATACAGATAATATTATTGACACCGAAGATAATAATAAAAACAAAAATTGAGGCTGGCCTAGGACAAAAGAGTACTTAGTACTATTTTCATACAAAATTTTATTTTATTATACCTAGTTTTGGTCAAAGCTCATAAAACATCCTGCATCCCAAAAATGGTTAATGTTAAAAGGGAGACATGGGGATGTTTCGATGTCAGCTGAATGTGTTTTAATTCCTACTGAAGTTTGTCGCTTTAAACTGGGACAACCTGTATGTGATATATGTAGTGAACCTAGTTAACACCTGCATAGCATAACATTTTGCTGATTCACTCAATAAAAGGAAAACATTATGTTAATTATACATGTTTTTAGTTTAGTATCTGTTTTGAGACTATACCTTAAAGTTTGATGATATGTTTAGCTTACATGGAAACCCTTTATATATTTGTTCATATTATAATTATTTTGTAGTTTTACTCCTCAAAGGATTGATTTTCTTTGTGCTCATAAAAGAGCAATGATTGGGCTCGCGAGCGCTTGTGTTTACAAACTTCTATAGAGTCCCATTTTTTATGGGCTGTGACAATCGACTTCCTATCTGTTCTTTTTTATAATTTTTGTATTTTTGACACCAATTCCAAAAAAAACTTACGATTTTTTTTAGGACGGGTGGCGAAACTCCTTTAAAAAATAATTGGTGCAAGTATTTTTATGCATGATAAATTAAAATTCAATTGAAAGTAATTTCATTAAAATAATTTATTTTATAATTTCTTACAATAATAATGTATTTAATAAAGAAATATGTGCCTATTGGAATTTCTGCTCATTGGCGTCTTGAGTGACCTGTTAGGTAGAACATGTTAGCTAAGTAGTAAACAGTGGGGGTTAATAAAGGGGGTGATAAAGAATTGAAAATGAACTAAAATTAAGGGAAAATTGCGCCGCGGCCCGTGGGCAGTCAGGTCGCCTCAATAATACATTATTCATAATCTGATTTAGATTTAAAATATGTACAATATACATAAATAATAATTTATAATTGTGAATACAATGATAATCTGAAGAAGACAGACTGTGTTCGTTGACTAGGCTGGCGCGTCGTCCCCTGGGGGGCCACGGGAGGGGCGATACTGGCTCGGGACGCGGCCACGGCCTCTTCAGGTCTGCTCGTCTGCCTACAGGACGTCCATCTCGGATAAGGTAAGGCGGCTGGTGGACATGGCCACTCCGCTGTCACTGGACGCGGACTGCACACTGGAGTGGTCATCGGTGTCGCTCTGAGTACTCGTGTAACCAATCACGTCGACTTCGTCTGGTAAAAAGAAATATTCGTTAAATACAATTATAGACTGGGTGTATAATAAAAAAATTGAGTCTTGTTGATTATAGCTAGTTTTCTAATATGAAGTAGGGTTAGGTTAGGTCAAGTTAGGTTACATTAGGTTTGGTTATAGTATAAATTGGTGATGGATATACTGGAATACCTATACAACATAGTACAAGAAATGGACAAACGAGTAAAAGGAAATGTTTGCTTCATATTTCTCTTAACTAATTCAATACATAAATAGGTGCACTCAAAACACAACAAGAATTAAGTGAAATCAACCTTACTTCAGTGTTCGTCCATCTATTTCTCTTCTTTATACCGTTGTATAAACCTTCAATTTTTCTTATTTACTTAGAAAATTTTCAAACTTTTACCTTATATCAACACTTTTATCTCAATATTTCGGATCATCCCGTATATTTATGGTTTGACCTACTATTATTCTTTACACAATCTTGTAAATCGTATACTTATTTGATTAGAAAATGTTCTAATTTGTACTTAATTATATTCAACAAACCCAAAAAAATGGACCTTATTCAACAGTAGGTTTTGCACAAAAAAATTATAATAATAGCAAATGGTTCAGTGAAAATCATGACATTTCCACAGGCGTTTACTTAAAGTATCGATGCTTTCAAACAGCGTTTATATTTGTTCATCGTCGTCGGCTGTGGAAAAGTATTTCGCAAACTTCGCGAGTAGTTCGTGCGTCCTGTTCGCGATCAGCTTGCGTACACGTCGCGAACAGGTCGGAAGCAAAACGTCTACAAAAACTAATTTTTGCCTTTACTGTTATTTGGTCAGTATTCCACGTTTATCGGTGAAGGAATGTCTTTACGATACGGATTAAATTTTTACTTTCGCTGCTTATATTGTTCAAAGAAGTTGCAAGCGGATTTTTTGTCGTATATCAACTGATTTTGAAAACATTAATTTTCTTGATATTTCTTCCACACATCATTGATTTTTATTTCTATATAAGAGTAGTTCATTTAACTTTCCACAAAACTTCCCTGTGCCACTATTTTCTTTTAAGCATCACAACTTTTTTATCTGCCCCCTCCAAAAATGGAACAAAATTGACGCAAATATTCAACTGTTTACATCAAACAGAGGTCAGGTAAACATATCTTAAAGTTGCCGACAGTCGACGGGAATTTCGGCGAGCTCGACATGAACCAAGATAAACGACCCTAATGTTACATGAGTTGCTCCCGATTTTGACGTAAACGATTGCAACCAGGCCGTTGGTTGATCGTGAACTCTTCGCGAGCGCACAAAAACTTCTTTATGTAGACGTCAAAAAATTGTGTCCGTCGTATAGAGAATAACAATTCCGACAATTTTTCCCTAGCCGCTTATTCCGTAAAATCGGCCGTTTGTCACAATTCTGTTTACTGTTTTTTATAACAATAATAAATAAATATAAATTTTTAAAAGTATTTAAAAAAAATTGGTTCATAAAAATTTTAAATGGAATTTGCCTGTTAGACTTCGCTTACAGACTTAAGAATACGTGCCACAAAAAGAGACGGTTTGTTAACATATTATAACAGGGCAATATATATATAATAATAATAAATGAGTAATTTGTAAGATCTGAGGGTGTCGCTTGCAATGCCCCCCTGGATCCTGATTTCCATGGAAATTTAAACTTGTCAAAGTTACGAAACGTCATTTTCATCACTTAGGCAGTTTAGATACCCTTATAATTCTCTTAATTAATATAATAATAATGAAAATCAATTGAATTCAGATCGAGAGTTCTAGATCATAAAATTTTACTGAATATTTCTGTTTCGATATTGGGTTATGTATTGTATTTAGAGTTATTTTAAATTACCTATAAATTCCTGCTTGGTATTATTCCATTGGAAATAGTAATGTTTTCTTGATATTCCTTACAAGACGTTGGGAGTTTGGGAAATATCTAGTATGTTATGAAGTTGTAATAGTAATACCAAATAAGATTTCAGAATTAATAACTCAACAATACATACGTAATTCAATAATATGACAGGACAATGTAGTAAAATATTATGACCTCCCAGAACTCCCGATCTGAAGTCAATGGATTTTAATTAATTACTATTGATTAGTTGGCTTTTAACTAAATTATGAAAATCATACTTCTCTTGTAGTAAAATCACCTATTCCAAAAAAAAATGTACGCATGTAGATGAATTTTCAAACAATTTTATTTACAACATATAAAAATGAATGATTGTTAATGACAGCAAGTGCTTTTGTTTGGCTACTAAAGCATGGCTACTTGATTTTAAGAATTCGATTTTTACTTTCTGCATTTTTAAAACGCATTTAATATAAATGATTTTAGCAGCTTATATTGTTTTAAGGCATTATTTTAGTAGAGAGATATTATTCGATTAACTATTTTTGTAAATCTATATTATTTCTTACTGGAGCATTTTACTGAAAATATGTAAAGATGCTTTTTTGTAGTAAAATGAAAGCTAAATCTAAAAAAACAGATTATTTCCAGTATTACTTGCCCGCACAACATTTTTTAAAAGGTTCACCATAGTGGTGCGTTTCACTGTTTTTTTAGTACCTATTCTGCTAGTTCTTCACAAGAGAGTAGCAAATGACGGTGACATTTACTACACCAAATTTCAAACCCTCTCTTTGTAAGGAGGCATTTTGGAACAAAGATTTATGTGTTTATGTGAAGTAGGTATTTTGTTTTCGCAAGAAGATGTTTTGGTTAAATTTTTTACATCTAATGACTTAGGTACTCTGCATTTTAATCTTATTTAAATATTAGATCAAAACTAAGCAGACTTTTTCATGCCTGGACATGAACTGAATTTGTTATTTATTGAAATATTTATAAGGTATTACTTCCCCACACTAACGTAAAGAGAAGACTTTATCAAATCTTGGAAGAGAACTGTAGCTTCAATTTTCTTCTAATTCATAGTTAAGTCTTAATTATCGTTTCATTTTTGCTTCCTCTGTATACATTTTTTATATACCTACCAATTTTCGTAAAAAAAAAGACTTGCACTTCCATTAAGAAGATTCTAGTTACCCATGAAATAATTAAGTTACCTAGTTAGATAATAGAAATAATCAAACTAAGAGGCAGCGATTTTATTAAGCCCAATTTACCAACGTACCGACTATAAAATGTAGAAAAATGGCCAAATCACGCTTTGGCTTGGGCTTTAATGCAGGCTTATTACATTTGGCCGTTTCCTATCTACATACACCAGAATCCTGGCATCGAACCAACATTAGACTATTGGATGCACCATCCTTTTATACGAGCCAACGGTTTTGCATTTGAATAAATCCCTTGATAAATATTTAAGCATTACATTTTACATAACCGCCGGTAAAATGTGCTATTGATTTTTAAGGTAAATACCTACAAAATGCATGCGCTGCACGGGCGGTATTCTATTTGCATACTTAGTTGGATTTCGACTGTTTATTGCAAATTATTAAATGTTCAAATTCAAATAGTCATTCTCTTTATAAACTTACAGACTTTTAAAATACTAAAATATCTACTTTAAGAAATAAAAGAAATAAAATGCTTTACAAGTTTTTAAAACATTTTCAGAAATTTAAAGCAAATATCAAAATAAAAGAAACAAATCAAGGATTGTACTATATAATAGGTTATAATTCTCCCATTCTTTTAATTATACGTTTCTAAAGGTTCGTCTAAAATACAGGCTGTCCAGGAAATAGTGGGCAGTCTCTCAGATTTGGGTAAGGCTTCTAAAAATAACGTCATAAGTTTATATAATTTTTTTTTAGGGCGCACTTTGTACTTAGTAAATTTGCTTTTGTTGAGAGTTGAAATTTAAATTTTTTTATCACAAAATTTTGATGTTTGGGAATATTATTGGGAGGTATTTCTATTAATGCATTAATTTACCTTTACGCTACCTCTTTATCTTGGCTTCCAAAAAATATACAGACCTACTTTTTAATTTTTGCCGCCGTTTTTAAGAATTTCATATTTTTTAAGTGAAAACGGTGTATAGTGTTTGTTATACGTTAGATAAAATAAACCTTTTTGAGTTAAACGGGTGTAGCAATGTTGATATAATCCTATTTAAGTTACATCTTAATAGTAACCTGAAACGATAATTGGTCGTTTATACAATAGTAAAATAATTGCACATAATGTCAAAAATAATGTCAAATGACAGTTTTTTATTTTTAAATGCAGATAATTTTCGGGTAACTGTGTTATTTGGGGTAATTGACTGCACTAACAGTTAAATATTATTTTGGTACCGATCTCGAAAATGTATGTTAAAAGGCCAAATGTAGGCTGAAAATGCCAATCACTCATTATTACAGAGAAGTCGAGTAAGAATGTTAAGGTTTGAAAAATATTGCGCCAGCTATCATCTCTTCACTATATCTTTTATACATACCTTTTAAAATGCTCTTTTAGAAAAATATTTCATTTTACAAGAAACGTCTGTGAAATTTTTTTTAAGATTAAACCTTCACTTACAACTATGTAAGATTATTGCAACGAGTATAGTCTTTCCGGTCTCAATTGAAGAACCAAGAGGTTGGCAGTATGTACCAAGTTCGGTTGCTGGCGCAGTAACTCGGTATTGAAATATTTGAAAATGTTGTTTCCATATTTATTTAGCCATACCCATATACAGGTTTGATCGAACTAAACGTGGTAGTGGTAAGCGTATAAATTTCTATCACTTCCACGTTTAGTTCGACCAGACCTGTATATGGGTATGGTTAAATAAATATGGAAACAAGAATATCAAATATGTTGTATAGTTGAAGAATGCGGGCGCGGGCAAACGGCGTATAACACAGCCGCACGGGTAACAGGGCAATAAATCTCAGTTGTTGACAAGTGGTTGACAAATTGCCTAGCAGTGTAGTTCATCAATGTAGAATTTGATGTGATTCAGGTAATTTTAATTTATTATAGGCACCTTCTATTAATCGTCTATATTACAATT